GGGGGGGGGGGGCCAGGGAGAGGAGCAGGGGGACGGACGGGGGAGGACACAACATGACAGGGGACGGGATGGGATGACACACAGGACAGGATGACAGCACACATGCACCTAGTATTTCAATTGCTTTTATTAAATACCTATCTAGCAACTTCATGCTGGGTTGCAATGTACAGTTACTGCATCATTATACTGTTCCTTTGTTCTGCCTAACTATGAAAGGAAGAAAAAGCATTGAATTATAGTGAACAAAGTTTTTAAAATATCTGTTTCATTCACAATTTATGCACACAAAATACTACTGGTTGAAGAAAAAAAAACCCAAAACAAACAATAAATTTGCAATTTTGGCCAAGCTTGGTCATAGAGCAGCACATTTCTTATTCCTAAAGAAAGGATAAATGACACAAGAGGAGAATAAAGGCTGGTAAGAAAAAGAAAAACCCACAACAAAAAACAATCCTTCATCACAATTTCTACAGTATGCTAGGTGCCATTAAATTAAGTAAGACTCAGGAAACAAAATTATTGTTAATGTATCTGCATCAATCATATCATCTACCTAAACAAGCATAAGTATATGCTTTCATAGTTCACAAAAGTAACACGCAGTTATATCTACATCTCCTTCCAAGTAACATTTTAACTACGTGACTAACTTACCTTGTAGAACTGTATAATATCATCCTTGGTCAGGGTCTTTAGATAAGCCACTTCAATATTATCTGCACAACAATAGTAAAAAATGTAACAGGTCTGCAAATCATAGCTGCTTTGTCCATTTGATTGGACTTACTAAAAAATGCATGCTTGAAGAGTACTGATTGCACTGTATGTATGTTATTCAGTAGCTAAAGAAGATATGCCTGCTTCTGTATATTACCTTCAAATCAATGTTACACATTCCTAATGCAGACTGATTATAGATTTTATTCACAACTAGGAAACAGGAGGGTAAGATGTACTTTGGCAGGATGTACTTTTAAATAAGTGTAAGGAATAGTGCCTACATCGTACCTGTTAAGGAATAATCACCTTTAAGATATCTGGGGACATTGTGTCTCAGTAGCTACATCACTTCATATAAATTAAATTGTAATGAACTAAACATGTAATATCACTGCTGCATAAGCAGGAATGTTTTTTGATGTAGGCATGCTTGCTTTTCTTATGGCTAGCAGGAAGATCAAGAAAGAAATGTGTGCAAGAGAACAAATACACAGCTAAGAAGTCTGTGAGGCAGGCTGTAAGTACTTAATATGAAGTTCTACATGAAGGAAGTAAAAAAACCCCAATAAAAACAGTTTGGAAAATTAGATGACATTTGGGAGAAAATGTTTAAGTAAAATCATAAAAGTAGTAATAATAAAAACGTAAAAACATGAAGATAAAAAACTTTCACTTCTTGAGGCTGGTATATGAATTCCCAATTTTGACAATTCCAGTCAAAATCATTAATGAAATAAAATTACTAGTGGGTAGAGAGGAATTAAAGATATAAAAGTCAAGAAAAACAATAAGTTGAGTGGGATTTAGATATGAAAGATATGAATACAGCTAGCAGTAACAAATTCTGGAGAGATAATAGAGGTCAAAGTATGATAAAAACAGAAACACTTAAGGCAGTGAAAAATTAAACTCAGACACAAAAAAAACCCCAAAAACTTGAGGGAATAAGTTTCCACACCACTTCTTATACTCAGGCATGAAACCTTGTCAGTAGCTCTCATTCTCTTGAGACCAAGCTAGATGACAATTCAAAATTCTTCATTATTAAAACAGTTCTGTTAGCCATTGTTGACCAAAACACCTGTATTTGCTGTTGTGGAAGGCCAACACTGTGCATGTAAATCTGAAGAGAAGTCACAGCATATAGAGTGAGTTTTATATAGGAAGCATATTATGCATGGAAGATGGGAAATTAGAGCTGTGAATCAGTCAAGACATGAAAATGCAAGGAAAAGCTGATCTGTACCTAAAACTGATCTTTTTTTTTCTAAATGTCAGAAACTATATTACTAATATGCCTCAGTATTTTGGATTAAAATCTTCAATTATGAAAAAGAGAAAAACACAAGTACTATGTAGGATCACAGTGTAAATAACTGTCAGTCCATTTTCACTAATAACACTAGAAGTTGGATCTTACTTGGTCTTCTACAAGCTTATAATCTTCAAAGAATCATGGATGAAAAAAAAAACTCAAAACGTTTCTTCAAGCCTACTCTAAACTGAGACGAGTCACATGTTAGTTAAGCTACCTGCTGTTGCCTCTGTCATTGCTCCCTCAAAGGAACTGCACAATGAGAAGAAGAATAGGGTTCATATGAACATGTGCACCATCAGGAATGTCAAAGTATATTTGAATGCATCTCAGTCAAGTATTAGGCACATATGTAATACAGATATCTGAACATGACATTTATGTGACATCAACATTTGCATTAAAAAAACTTTGAATCCTTGACCTACTCTACATCTCCCTGAGCTTTAAGGAAAATAATGGAAGGTTAGTGAAGCATTCATCAAACCCCATTATATGGTGAACACTTTTATCCTCTATTACTAACAGCTCCCACAGCAGTGAGAGCACAGGCTCCACAACTCAGGTATTTTCTCAGGGCAGAAGGAAGAAATACAATTACTGGACACAAATCACAGAAAATAGATTAAATTATGCACAGGTTATGTAACACTAGTTTGTTCCCAATGAATATGACACTCAACAGTCACAAGTGTAAAACTGAATGCTGTAGTTTGGCTAAAGGAATTATAATTTGTCTTACCTCTGTCAAAGTTATACTGCTGGGAAATGATTTCTCCCCAGTATTTAGCACATTCCGCAGACAGCTTCTTTGGTTTGTCTAGACGACGAATTGCTAAAGCTTGGATATGTTTTTGGAAGGCCTCTTCTGTCATATCTTCTATGCATTTCTCCATAGTTTTTAAGAATGCTTCAACTCTGCTTTCTAAATAGTGTGGAGGCTTTTCAGATTGGATAATAAATCTCAGTCCTTGTATGCCATTTGCCCGACGTGGACCACTGAACACAATGTAACCTTGGCAAAACAAGAACAGTCACAAATTAAAAGAAATCCCTTGGTCTAGCATTAAGTTCACCAAACATGACATGTTTGACAGGAACACAATTTTATGCTAAGTTTAATTCTGTATTATAAATGAAATAATGCAGGTTTTCAAAATATACTACTATATGTTTTAAAAAAAACACATTTATTTCACTGAGGTAAGTATCAGTTCAGGGGAGGGGTGAGGAGATGAGGCAGACCAAGACAGAACAAAAGGAATTCTGTCATCAGGATTAGGTAACCAGAAATTAAGCTGTACTCTAGTTCTTCATTAGACTCAACATTAGGACCTTATTATTAATTTTTCATAATGTCTAATCTGAATTCTCTTTGCTGCAATGTAAGACCACTAGTTCTCATCAATTAGATAAAAAGAAAATACTATTCCCTTCCTTTTTGCTGCAGCTTTTGCTTATCTGAACTAAGCCTTTCTTCAGTCTTATTTCCCTCTTTTAATAAGAAATCTGTCAGATTTCAGTCTTATAAATGTTTTATAACTCTCTAATTGTTCCTTGATGCGTATGTCAAAACTGGATACAGTAGTTCAAAGTCCTTACCTGAATACAGGAGTATTATTGTGTATGCATCTTGAAAGCTCCTGTTTATATATCCCAGCATTTTACGCAGAAGCATGAAACTGCTGATTTATGTTCTACTTCTAATCCACTGTAATCTGTAGACTGTTTTCTACATAACTGTTACCTAGCCAGCTGCCTCCTAGCTTCTATCTGTGCCACTGATTATTCCTGCCAAACTGTTCCTACCAAATTGTGTCTTATCTTCAAGTCATGTTTCCAAAATGTCAAACTAATTTTGAATTCTAATTCTATCTTCCCACACATTTGAAGCCTCTCCCAGCTTACTATTATCTGAAGATTTAGTAAGTATATTCACTCTTTTATCATCTAGAGTTTTGGTGAAAATACTAAACAGCACTGGATCACAAAAGAGCTCTACAGAACACTATTTTTCAAATGAACTATTCTTATCTACTCCTCAGACATGACTTTCCAAACAGCCTTGCATCCAAATGTGTAGCACTTCCACCTAGGCAGTCTCTCTAGTTTGTTTGAGAATATTATGCGCCTATCATACTATCAAGAAGAGACATACAATGTCACCACTTCCATCCACACAGACAAACTCTGTTTGTATTAAAGAAAAAAAGTTAGGTTAGTTTGACCTGAGTTCGTCCAGCAACAGTCTCTCAGTTACCTTCTATGAATTTAGAAGTTTGATAGCTTACTCTGTATTTTCCAGGAATCAGAATTAAGATGACAGATCTATAGCTTCCCTGCTCTTCTCTTTCCTTTTTTAAGGAAACATGTAACATTGATTTTTCCAGTACCTCATCTATCATCCACAAATTCTCAGTGATAAGATTTCTAATTCCCGGATTTCATGATTTGGTTTTTTTTTAATGTAACGTAGAGTTCATTGTGCTTGAACTCTTTAAAAGCTTCTAATTACCTGAACAACCTTTGATCTGTTATTTTCCTGTTCAAATGCAAGCCTTGAACTTTGATCACTGGTATTTATTTTGGAAATCATCTGGTCACAGTTCACATTTTAAGTGAAAACTAACAAAGCCATCCTAAAATATTTTGATTTTTTCTTTCCACCATTGACAACTTTTCTGTTCCTCACAGTGCTAAGGCATTTATTGAATGAGTTCTTGTTACTACTTCTACTGTTTAGCAAACTGCTAGCTCCTGAACTTCTTTTTCACTTAGCTTTCTCAGAGATCTTAATAAAAATTCCATTAAGTTTACTGAATTTTGATGGTATTTCTACATTCTTCCCTTCTAAGTCTTATGAACTCTATAATTTGGCAGTTACGCAGCACTGAATACACTCACACAGTTCATCCTCACTGATTCTCCTCTTTAGCTGTTACCTCCAACTTCTATACAAAACCTACCATAAGCACATTTCCAAAACCCGCTAAATAACCTGAGTCCTGCTGTAGGAGGATATCTATCAGCAGATATTTAGACAGTTAAACTACCTATAATGAATATAGTATGGCTGACCCTGCTAGTTGCTCAGGAAAAGTCTAATTTTGCCTAATATCCCTGCTAGTTCATAGTCATCACTGAGACATTCACCTACCTGTCTCTCACCTTTAGAAAAAACACACTCCTCCTCCTAAGTATTTCAATCATGCAAACTGTCATGCAATGTCTCTGTCTCTCCTTGTTATCCTGTTTAGAATAACCTTATCAGCTCTCAGTCTTACTGGTTCAGATAATTATTTGTACTTATTGGTGAAGAGCTGTATTCTTAAAAAGCCTGAAATGTATTTAGGTCTTCACCAACATGGCAGTTTACCATTACCTATATAGCAGTATTCCCAAAACAGGACTTAGGAATCATCAAGTGCACCTGGAAGTAGGATCACAAGCAGAAAAGACCAAACTACTACTGATTTTTCAAGAAGATCTAAAATTTATGAAACTGATCTAATTTCCTTTTGGTAAAAATTCTAGATATTAAATTTTCTGTACAATGATCAAACCTTTTTTTTTTTAAAGCCAGAGTTAGTTTCAGATATTTCAGACATCTTAAAAATTATGCTTGCTTCTTCTCAATTTAGAGACTGTGCACAGTAACATCCCTTTGACTCATCAGCAGTTAAAATTATTTACATTTACCAAGTGCCCTTTAAATGGCACTCACTTAGCAGGGAAAGAACACCTCATCATGTCTCATGTCTCATGTAAGTGCGTGAGTATGCGTGCATGTGTGTACAGACACAGAATCACTATGGGAAAACTTACCTAATTGTTCCTTAGTGCGCAGAGTATTGAAGCATGGTTCTGAGATAATTTGACAAAAGAGTTCCAAAAACATATTCTCAGAAGTGCTCTGCATGTCTGTCTGGTAATATATTTCAATTCCACAATTGTTATGAACTTCATTTCTCTGTTGATAAACAAACCAACCTCCTAAAAGACAAAGTTGAAACATTTAAGTTCTTAAAAATGTACATTCTTATTGTCCACAATTGTCAAGATAACAGTCTATCACTTGTGGAATGGAATTATAATAAATGGTTTAGGACTGTTAAAGAAGAATTTCTACTAACAGTACACTTTTCATGGAACAAGTGAAGAAGAGATTATTTTAACATATTGAAATGTCATATCTTGAGCATACCAGCAAGTAAATTGAAACTGGCTGCTTCTCCTCAAGTAAATATTTTTGGAAGTTGAGTGATGCCTCTACTGTATAAATAGTTCATAAAGACAATTTGTCAGAAATATTTATGAACATTAAAAATAATTCAGCATTTAATACCAGCAGCTGCTTTGGTATATGGTAGTTTCCACAGGGTGATGATCAGCTATGCGTAATGTAGCTATACAGCCAAAGCCAATGTCATTATTCCTATACAGCTCCCAGCAACTGCTCGAGCCTCTTTTCTTGTATGTAAGATTTTTTTTGCACAATAGAAGTAAAATCATATACAAGCACAATGAGACCAGAATAATTTATATTAGAAAAAAGCCAGTGTTACTTGTATAAGTGCTTTTAGTTTTCTCAAAAAGCAAGAGTTGTTTAGACAAATCTTCACTGAATGGTCAATTGATATTCAAAAGTGCTCAAAGAATAGTGCTTATTCAAATGTGTATACAATGTGTAGCAGAGTGTAGGGCAAGGCTTTTATTTCCATAAATCATATCAAGTGAATTCAGATTGAATCACAGAATCATAGAATGGTTTGGTTTGGAAAGGACCTTAAATATTATCTAGTTCCAACCCTCAAGATTAAAAATGAAATAAATTTGCTTTTACTTATACCAGAAATATATTAGTGTATAATTTTATTAACAAAAACCACACCCTAATTATATTGTTAAATTTCAAGTTTAAAATGAAGTAAGCCTAATTTTGAAACAAACTCCTAAAAACAGAGTAATATTCATTTTAAAATGCCATTAGCAAATAGAGAATCTCAATTTAATGCACATTAAAAAACTGTAAATAAATCATTGAACTTACTGTCAGGAAGTTGCACTTCTCTATATCTCACTAGCTGACTAGGAAGTAGTGGCTTTGTATGAGCGTGCTCAATGAGAGTGTCCTCAACCATCTGCATAATTCCCAATGCAGCCTGGAAGAGAAAACATAAAAGGATTTTTAACAATCATTAATTGTTCTGTACCTAACAGTAGGGTAAGACTTTCCAATTATTGATGGTGACATGAGAGAAAAGAAAAAAAAAAAAAAAAAAAAAAAAAAAAAAAAAAAAAAAAAAAAAATCAGAAATAAAAAGTAGGAATATTGTAATTTAGCAAAAATACAGAAGTAGATGAGAGGAAGCGGAAAGCTTGGGGGACAAGGGTTTTGTGGGGTTTTACATTTATCTTCTATACATGTTTAACTACTGCTACTCCTCCCCAGTGCTTCTGAAATTTAAGTTCAATGGGCTTTCTTCTTTTCCTCCCTCTTCATCACCTTGATGTACTCATCTTTCAAAGTTTGAAAATGAGATACCTACAACATATGTTTGCAAAGCAGATGATGTCTCATCAGATGAAATTTTAAGAAAACAAATAAAGGATTAAGTTCAAACATGCATTCTACTGACATGCTGATAGCATTGAGACTCAGGCCCAGATACTTTCTTTTATTTGATGGATTAAAATAATCATTAAAAAGAATAAAAAGAGAAAGAAGTTTAAAAAACATTAGTTTCATTCAAGAATTTAACTTCAAAAGCTTTACCTGTTAAGGTTTATATGTTCTTGTAGCTTGCATACTGGAAATTACAGTAATGCCACAAAGTAGTTTTGGCTTAAAGCCAAAATCTCTTTGTCTACACTGCCACAAACTCATAACCCAAGTGATCTTATCAAAACCATGCAAAAGGTCTGAAAACTTAATAAATACATGCTGTCCCTCCCCACCACCCCCAAAACCCCCATGCAACATCAAAGACAAAAAGATTGAGGTCTAACAAAACACAGTTTGAAAGGTTAGAGAAAAGTACTATATATTCTTCTAATCAAGTCACCATATTAAAACAAATTATTTACAACACAACTGTTCAGACAGATGTTCTGAACAGGATTTGTTTACTATTCATCCACTTGCAGGAAATAAATAAAAGGAACAGTCAAAAGATAAATATCTCAATGAAATTAATTCAAGAAGAAATGGAAATTTTAAGCAGCTAGATAGGTCTAATTTTTCAAACACTACAAATTCACTCAAAATTTTTTCAGTATTGAAAGGTGTCACAAAAGTATGTAAATTTTGATTTAATTTTAGTGGAAAAAATTCTTAGATCCACATTAAATTTTCTGAGCTTTGTCAGTGATGATCACATCATGGGCACTGAAGGATAGAGAAGTTTCCTATTCACATCTATTCAGGGAGGTTTGTAGATCATTCCTAAACATTACAGAGCTATGGACATAACAGTACATCCCTCCCAGTTCTCTAGCTATAGGACACTTCAACAGCCACCCATTATGCCAACTAAAGAATGCATTTCTCTGCTATGACTGCATCAACAAGGAAATCTAAAAAAAAAAAAAACAAAAAACAAAAAAAACCCAAACAACTCTATAAAATTCTCATTGTATTTCAGAAGGAACTGACTTTCACATACAAATGCGTAAGAAATAAGTGAGACTTTTTCTACATTTCTCCACATGAAAAATACTCTATAAAATTGAAAAATAAATTGACATCCTTGAAAAATAAAACTTTGTGCATCCAGTGCTACTGGATCCCTTCATCTTTTTATTTTTCCCCTCCTTACTAGTTAACTCTCTTCTCTACACATTCAGCAGTCAATAGCAGTGTTTATAACATCTTCTGCTAGTGAAGTATCTATCACAGAGCTGGTGTAACAGAAATACTGCTATATCAGCCCTACAAAAACAGAATGACAAAATGTACAGGCAAGGTACTACAGTTTCTATTAGCACATATATTCAAATATTTGGTTAGACTTCCTATGCAAATACAAACTATTACTATTTTAATGGAAGATAGAACAAACATTTTCTGATTTTTACTCAAAAAAAGACATAACTGAGAGCTGACAATTTCTTTTATGGCTCACTATTCCTGTTTAGCTTTGTGCAAAGTACTTCATCTGGAAGGAGCTTGGATTCTTAAGACTTTGCTAGTTAGCCTGAAACTTTTAAATGGAAAAGCAGGATCTGCAGCACATCTTTCCTTATGCAGCTTGATCACATCACAGTAATGACACACAACATAGACTTTAAAATATTTAGATCATAAGTTTTTTTATCTTTCCAAGTGCAATACAAGGGCAGCACTTAGCCTAATAAATCTAAAGTGGAAAAAAAATGACACCATGATACTCCCATAAAGATAAAAAAGTACAAAGTCAAATTATGAAACTGCATTTGGCAAAACTGCTTTAAGATCTGAGATGAAATTAGTCTTCCATTATGCTGCTTTTAAATAAAACTTGTTTTATTAAAGAAAGTATCACACCAACCTGTTTTGTTATATTGCCATGGAGAAGAGCTTCAATGTGTAACCGTGACAACAGTTGAGCTATAAAGGCCTTGAGGCGGGGAAGAGTGACATCTAGAGTAGATATTTAGACAGTGAAATCAATTATATGCATTTTTATGTTAAGAAGTACCTAACTCATCATTAGATATAGTGCATTTCTTAGAGGAGGAGAAACTCATCATCATAAAAAAGTGAATCTCTCTTAAAAATGAAACATTGGAAAGTTTCCAGGTCTAAATAGCAGCACTCATCATACAGTTTGTTTCACTTAGAATTCACATACTGTCTGACCCAGATTCCAAAAAGAAAAAAAAATAATAAAAGCGCCTTCTTTCCAATCACGCTGAACAAACATTAGTTCTCTGCAGAAAAGAGTTGCAATCATTCAGGTGGTGTTCCAAGATAAAGCTTTCATTATTAACTGAACAGGCAGCATGTAGTTTATAATGCTTGAGAAACACACTGTGCATTTACCATCCAGACTAAAAAAAAGAACCTCAACTCAAATATGGCGTTTTGATAATATCTTTTTAACAAACAATATACAAGTACTTTTGCAATATATCCCAGAGTACACACACACACACACACACACACACATTCTATACTAGCCTGTCTTTGCAAAGCAGTTTTCATAAGGCAAATATAGTTTAACATATAGAATCAGTGGAATAAGAGGAAGGATGGTTGAATGGATGGGGTGTTCATCCCAAAGCCAACATCACCAATCTTAAATCCCTGATGCTACCCACACTGTATCACCAAATCTATCAGTTTCTCATTTTGTCATTTTCTCAACTAAAATAAAAACTAACAATAGTCATATATTTCACAAAAGTATTGAAAAGACAAATGCAAGCAAGATTATGAGGTCACTCAATTACTCAGTGCAGGATGCATACATATGTGACAGATTTGCAATTTATATTAGAAAAATCTATACTGTGGTTATCAGCCTTTCCCTCTCTTAAGAGAGGTAACTGACCACCGGTAAAAAATTCATTTTTACTTTTTTCCCTGATTCCAAATCAACTTTTTACTGTTGTATAATCCTAATCTTAATTTTTGCCTCTAGAATTGTTTAATAGTGCAAAAGATTACAGTCACATTGAGGAGAGAGGAAAAGGGCAGGGAGGGAAATCACACAAACTCCCTGTATTTCAAGCATATTTCCATCAGTGCTAAGTAGACAGCATTCCTTTTCTGCATTCCATTTTTAGCCATTCTTATCCTGAATACAGTAGCATTAATCTTATGAAGACAACTTATACACAGAACAGAAAATCTCTTACGTTTTTCAAAATTCAATAGTCATTAAAAAAGGAATGACCTACATGTAACTGAACCCCTGCCAGGAAAAATCAGCATTAGTTTTGTCATTCACTTCACAGGCTTCACTGGCACCACTGTTAATCTCAGAGATACCTCAAATCATTCAAGAAACCATACAACTACACAATTATACTTCTATCCTACAGCAATCCTGTAGAAAAAACACACACCCCTGTGCAGCTGGCTCAGGGCATCTATAGAGTCTATCTTAATGAAGAAGTTTTCAGCATCACAACTTCAAACAGTATGGTATGTGTCAATCTTTGACAACAATGGATAAATAAAAAAGCCAAATATTCTTGGAAAAAATGTCTCAATGTATTCCAAGAAGATATTACAATATATTTTGCAAACTGTCCCAGTAACAGCCTTTTGTTGTAACACAGTAAGGTAGGAAGAGGTCTTCAACTGTTACTAAAATCAATTACATATATTAATTTGAAATTTCTTCTTCCTCCAAATATAGTCTGGCATCTATTCTTTGTTAAGAACCACAATGTTCTTTATTTATTATTGTTATATATCTTTCTCCTTTGTTATCTACAGTTCTTTATTATCTACAGAAACAGATTTCCCTGATAAAGGAAAAAATGAAATAGTATGCACACTGGGAAGTACAACGCAGATAATACTTCAATGTGTCTGCAAGATGTCAACTTGAGCCAAATGATTTTAGAAGTGTTGGTTAAGCACTGGATTCACCACATCCAGGTTCATGCCCACAAAGACATTCAAGTCTTGCCTGAACTTTTACCTACTTTTAAGTTTTGCAAGTTGCCTGAACTATTATACTTTCTAGAAACTGGAAGACACATGCAGAGGCATCGACAGCCACCAGCATCAGCTCAGGTTTGGCACTGCAGGGGCTTCATTTGAACAAAGGGCAGAGTTCAAAGTAGGTACCCTCATCAGTTTAGTAACATTTTCCACAAGAAAAAAAAAAATCACGTTTAAAACTGGCAGAACATTACCATCTAGAGCTTCTTTTAATTCATCTTTGGTCCAAGCAACTTCTGTCATCAGGAGTCGGAGATAATACATTGCATGTTGGTGAGGCTGTTCAGCCCTGAAGTTGTTAAGCGATCTCATGTACTAAAATGAAATAATTAACTTTAAATTACAGAACTCTATTTGTAAACACAAAATATTAACCTTGTACTCTCAACTTGGTGTACCATCAAAAAGATACATTTCAAATGTCAAGAACATTCTTTTGCTTGTTAGAACTATTAAAAAATTGTGTTAAATTACCTTAGTAATAATGTTGGCTTCTGAGCCTATGGATTAAGCTGTGACCATTAATGTAGTTGGAATGAGCATGAAATTAACTTCTCCATAAAAGTGATGACTTACTTTACTTTAAAAGTAAAGTAACTCATTTCAGGGCATATGAGTGAGAAACAGCAAGCATGCAGTTGCTGAGGATGCACCCTTCTATCTGTTCCAAACAGAAGCCAGAACCTGGTATCTCCCTTATCTGTTTGGTGTAGCCACAAGGGGAAAACTGAAATCTCCTCATCTGATTTGACTCTCTTTTTTGTATTTTGTCCTTATTTTACATACACAAAAGGCCAAAGTCTACAAAAAGACAAAACACGCATAACAGAGACTATCAAGGAAACATCTTAAACTAAACGAAAATCATGCAAAACAGATCATTCACAGACCTGTCAGCTGGGCTTTTTTCCTTGACATTTGTCACATCCAGTGTGTCAACATTCCAGACAATTTATATTTCTTAGGTACACAAAGCCCTAAATAAAGTGCTGCAATAATAAATCTACCTCATGTTTGATGTCCACACTCTTAGAATTTCCTACTAAATAGTAATGAATAAAAACAGCCCTGGTGTCTAGTCTAGGCCAGTCACCTGTTCAAAAATCACCAGCAGCAGAGGATTAAAGTAAGACTACAGCAAGCATGAAGTGATCTTCCCTGCAGCCCTAGCTCTCTCATCCACTGCAGACTACTGGCAAGCTTCCTGGGCCAGAAGCCAGCCTGTTCCCCAACACCAGTCTAGCCCTTGTGCACTCATTTATACCTCCACAACTCATTGCTATGAGTGTCAATATCTAATTTGTTCATTTCCTTTGTTCCACCTCTGTCCTGCTCTAAAGAAAGCACCAGAAGAACAATTCTGTATCTTGTTTAGCTTGGCAAATGTAATCACTATTCATAAATTTACTCCAGAAGCTAAAAAAAAAAAAAATATCTAACTTACACTCCATATATATAGATCAGTCATTAAATTTAGGAAGCGAGACTTCCAGAAGTCAGCATGTACTTAACCAGCTGGTTACTTTTGCACCAAAGGATCTTGGCCCAGGAGCAAAGCTCCTCTTTACATCTGGGGAGAAGAAATGTTGCAAATCTTTTCAACATTTCCTTTTTCCCTTTATCCATTTTCCCCTTCTTTTATGGCTAGATCCCACTGAGGCCTTTCCAAAATGTAAAACAGGATATAAAGTTAAAACTTCCATTCCCCATCCCCCTTCTTAGCTTTCTACTCCTATCAAAGCAAGTTGTAATCCCTTGATCAATCATAAGGAAGACCAACTGAAAGAAGATTCCAGGGCCAGTTATTTTTAGCCAAACAATATAATATAAACACTCCAGGGAACTCATGGCCACAAAAAAGACAAAAGAAAAAAAGATTCTGCTGTCCCAATGAGGTGGAATTTCAATCTGTATTTCCATGAATAATCAGTCCTCAGATTTCATTTCAAGTCAATGTATTCGATTTTATATTAATCCAAAATGTAAATTTCTCATGTAGCTTACCGCTTCCTTGATAATTTCAAATCGTTTTTCATCAATCTCAAAAGTAGCCATTTTCTCAATGATCTTCTTGAGCAAGATATGTTGCTTGTCATTATAACCTTTTACGGAAAGCTATGGAAAAAGTACATAATTTGCTTTAAACGTGGAAGATAAATAAAACAATTACAAAGTCTTATATAATTCAATAACAATAGACTTTTCAACACTTACTCTAAATTCAATGTTACTCAACATTAACTCATTCTGAAATAAAATCCCTTTACCCATCAAAATATTGCATATTTGCCTAGAGTGATGAATACAGAGAATTAATATAATTTCATGTTGATGTAGCAAATTGTGCTCAGAATACAGATTTTTAATGATCACAAGTATTGAATCCAGTCAGTAAACTGTACATTTGAAGTACTGAAATGGTTTTACTCTAGGTTTCTTATTTTAGTAATGAAATCTAGATTCACAGCCTTTTAAATATTCTCTCCAACTTACTTTTAACCTCATTTCATGTTTATCTTGTTGCTCAATTTTTTATTTTTTTATGTAAGTGGAGGTAAGCAATACTACAAGAAAAGGGGTACTGTCAACAGCAGCACAATTTATAACCAGGATGGCGCTGGGTTGAAACACCAAGATAGTCTACAACCATAATGAAATATTAATCTGATCATACATATCTTTTTGAAAGCATACATGAAATAAACTTGGTCATTTAAAAAAACAATATAGAAACTTAAAAATTACTATATGACTGCATCAAGCTACAGAAAATTTGTCTAGTGAAAAAACAGCATTAGGCGGCCTTTTTGGGGGAAAAAAAGCTTCAAAATTTGGTACCTCAAAAGGGGAATTTTATCAGACTTGTGCAATTTAATTAAGAGTAAACCCAAATTTTAGCACAGAAACCAACATACAAGTGAATTCCTCCTTTCCAGTAGGAAGAATTATTTCTTCTGTAGTTGCTGACACGTATCTGAACCATGAATTTGACGAAAAAGTATCTTAAATGGATTTAGGACAAAGGCTGATATTCTAAATTAACGTAAGAATTCAAACTGTTCAGCCATCAGCATGGGTGATTGTTTTTAGTGTAGCATCTGTCCTTCCTTAAAGTATCAACATTGTACAGTTTTACCTATTGATGATAAAACTTCTCATGATATAGAAAAGAATGTTAGAAGTTCCCAAATATCAAAATGGAGTAAACTGATTTTGTGAAAATAGAATCCTTACAGTAGAAGAATATAAAGACCCTACAAAAACCAGCTAATATTTAAAATAACACCAGACTTCTAAACTGTGACTAAAAATGAAGAAAGTTACACACACACTCTATTTTTTTTTAAAGGAATTAACTCTGACCATAGAAACATCAGCAAGCTTTGAAACTGAGAATAGATAACCATGTTTGCAGTAAGCTAAACAAATGCTACCAGGAAATGAGATTTCCACTGGATAAAAAATAAATTGCAGCACTCATACAGAAAAATGTAAAGACAATATACAGTATATTATCTTACTAAGATACTTTTGAAAAACAATATTTCTACAGGAAATTTCAAAACACATTTTGGTATAAAATGATGGTTAATAAAAGCTTTTAACAGAACTTCAAGAGAGACTATTAAAATCTCCTGTCACAAATCTCATAGGAGAAGTTCGGTAAGAAACAACCGGTTATCATAATATCAGTATTTATCAAGTAAGTATTGCCAGCACTAATACAGATTGCAAAATGCATAATAAAAACAAACACTATGGAAAAGCCATAAATATTCAGCATTGCATTCTAATGAGCACATGCACAATCCATTTCCACAGCTCACTATAGCAGAATTAGAGAATTAAAATCTGTAAAGTTGAGATTCATTCCACAAAAAAGTTAATCTTTTTATATAGAAACCAGCCATAGTACTTTCAAGATTACCATGCAAGCAAGTAAAAATGGGAACTAGAACGCAACAATTGCACTGCACACACATTCACAAGACACTGCAATCTTAAAGAGGTCACTCAGTACTGATTAAAATACAGTTTTGCTTCGCCTTTAATTCATGAGATATGCAAGGAAAAAAACATTAACCATCTCATTTAGAAATGCAGAAGTCAAATGTTTTCTCCAAGCTCAACAACTCCCAAGCTGTTTCATTTCCTCCTGCGTTTTTTTCTTACTTACAAGTATTGCATTCATTCCTGATGCAATGCCATAGATCAAACCTGAGAGGCGTGCTGCATATGTATACTCTTTTAAATCATCCTTCAATAACCTGATAAACAGGTATGTCATGTTGCAATGGAGAGGATCAGCATAAATGTAGCGACTAACAAAAAGAAAAACAAAAGAAATGCTTTGATACCTCAAGCAGTGACAAAGTAATGGATGAAGAAACATGACTGAAGAGTATGTATATGCAGCCTCATGATCAGTAGTTCTTGAACAGGAAAGCTGAATGTACCATTTATTTAATAGCATGAAAAGGGGGTCTTCTACCCCAAAGTTTTTAGTAGATGTCTGACAAACTGAAATAAATATGTAAGCTTGGATTAGGGTTGCTTTTTTCTTTTTTTAAATGGAGGAACAAATCTTACAACTAATTAATTTCATGAATGATATAAAAATAAAGAAGAAAATTTGCTTAATAAGAATGGAAAGATTGTTGAAGACTTTGAACAAAATTCAACTTAAAATTCAAATTAAAGAAAGGATGGTTAATAAAACCAAGATCAAAAGGAGTAACAGCTTTAGACCCATTTTTAAATAAAAGTCCTTCCATCAAATCAATATAAAAATGTTGATGAGTGGAAGTAGTTTTAAGGCTCTAAGCTTTTCCTTGATTTGGGTACTTACATACATCCCATAGATGGTATTTTGGAGATCATAGTTCAAGCCAGCTAGTTCTGCTGCATATGCATACTCGTTGAGGGAGTCTTTGAGTAGTTCAAGGTACAAATAGGCCATGTTACAATGCAAGGGATCCACGTAAGCAAATGGGCTGGAAGAAAATGTTGAAAGTAAAATATGCAGTTTAAAATTATTTCTCAGTTTCTTTTGGCCTTTTAAGTTTGATCTGAAGGAAACAATATTTACTGTGAGTATGCTGATGGATCCCATTATGAAGGATTCTATTTCCAAGCCAAATATGAACATACCTGAAAATAATTATTTAGCTTGCTTGTGGTTTGAGTGATACCTAAATATATTGAAGATTCCAGAGATATTATCTTACTTATGCTCATAAATCAAGATGCATACTTTGCTGCAGAGTCGGAATTCACCAGGAGTAAAATAAAATAAATACACCCGAATAACCAACATAATTTAATAGACTGAAATGAAAGCCCACATACTGAACATTAATTTAATTAATACTTCTACACTATCAGAAAACAAAGTAGTTTCTACTAAAAAAGAGATTAGCAATTTGAGGTATGAAAAATATGCAGTACATACTAAGTTCAACTCAGGAAAAGTCTGGCAAATCCATTTTCATACCACTATAAATTTTTGTGTTATCTTTTTAACGGCAACAACTGTACAAGCTCTACTGTTGTATTAGAAGCATCTGATCACATACAATACTGTTGCAAATTTCTCAAAAAGAGAAACGCAACTCAAAGACTCAAGACATGTTTCAAGTGTTCTAACTATTAAATAGCTGTGCATTTTCATGATCTGCAAAGTCAAGACAAGTTATATGTACTATGATTGAATATTTATTTCTAAAGTTTCTGAAGTGCATGTAAATTCATTATCAATTTTACAGAAATATTCAGCAGTATCTAAAACAATTTACTGTCAGGATATGGCTTACAATTCAAAACCACACCACTTGCATTTATTTTCCCCAAGCAGTCACTAATAGTCATATACAGAGACGTGCCATTATTTATGTTTACACTTACATAGTATGTTATTTAATAGTTATACCAACATTAATGTAGTAAAACAAAGATCACATCGCCACAACACACATGCTGGTAAATACATTGCAAAGATATTTTTAAGAAGGTTCCTAGTAGTTTTTAGTAAGTCCTTGACTCTCCTTCCTTTTAGATTAAGGAAAGACAGTGTGAGAAGAGAGTAAAAAAGAAAAAAAGATTAATTTTTAAAATCAATCTATTAGAGAACCAGAGCATGCTATAGTCTGAAATCTTAGCCTAAGATATGTTTTTTTTTTAATACCACTGGGTTCTTTATTCTGGGCTTGGGCTTATGTAACTCATAACTTATGTAACTTATGTAAAAAGTACTCTGCTATTAGCATGTCTCTCTCCAATAAGAATTTCCCAAAACTGAGCAGCTTCAATATGCCAAATGATGCAAATCCAATTAATACTGATTTTTTTTTAATTAAGACTGAATTCAAAGCAAGATGTAGGTCAATCCTATGTTATCATAAACCTTCCTCCAAACTCATTATATTCTTTTCCATTTTGCTACTAGAATAGAGACTTAATCAGTCTGAGTGATTACTATGTCCATATCAGTTATAACTTCTGTATATTCATTTAGCTGGCAGAGGCCAACAGGGAGTTTTGAAAATAATGAAGACTACTGAATCAGTAATCTTCAAGTTAAAATTAACAGAAAACAATTATTATAACACTGTTCTGAGAGTTGCCTTTTACTACTGACAACTTTATAAATAAATTCTTATTTCCAGTTTACCTTGTTTGACTAGATTTGAGGAAGCAGAACACCTCAACCACTGACACTGTATTTGAAAAATCTTAAAAGCCTAGTCTTTTCCCCTTTCAAACTGAGCTGTGAGTGACATAGCTGGAATCAGTGTTGAAGCATTGATCCTGGGTTACCTTATAAGCAACTCAACTTTCTTGAAATATTTCTTAAACTGGAAGATAGCAAGTATCTAGTTAAAAATAATTAGCATTGTATTTTTAACATCCATCTCTCTAAACCTTGGGAGTCTTGAAGTGCAGAGTTTATAACTACCTCAGTAAGTTTTCAGAACAGCAGCATACTCCATTGTTATCTTTCTTCCTTTTAAAAAAAGGATACTTGCTGAGTTCTTAAATCATAATTCATACAAAATCAAAACCTTATCATCATCCTTTAGGCTGGATGATAAGTCTCATGTCAGAGGTTTTTACTGTGGTGTTCCTTTAATGCAAGACTTGTGCCATGTATTTTCAGTTTTGGAACAAGGCGACTTCAAGAGGTTCATATACTCAGACTGTTCCTACTGGATTTGTATGTTTGAGGCAGAAACCACCCTCATCAACTTCCTCAATTCATCTACACAGCATTTGCTGCTACAACATCTGGGTCAGGAATTCTTCCAATGATTCATGATGATCATGGCTGCAGGCAGAAGAAATCCTTGAAGTTTTTTCTATCTTACTGAAGCAGTCTGTACTGTGAACAGATTCTTGTAATCTGCTACAAGGCAGTACAGCCAACATATTCTGATCTAGAATTGAGGCTAAAACTTTATACGAAAACCCATGTCATTCAGATGACTTTATTCACCAATTCAGTTGGCTGTAAGAGCTATGGGTAATTTCATTAAGTCTCATGACTAAACACTATACATTTTACCATTTTTTCCAGTGACCATCAGCATAACCAGTCTCAAACTAACAATCTAAATTATCAAAACCAGACAACCCTGCTTACAACTTCATTTGGAGATGATGTACCTAGCATTGTCAAAATATCCTCACATCCATTCACATACAATTATCATCTTAGTTTTAACAAGAAGGAAAGAACCCTTGCCCCCAACCCTAAGAAGAAAGGCCACCTTTCCACCTGTAACCATTCCCAGGAGGAAAGAGGCAAACCACTGGTTCATTCCATTAGTCAGCAAAGCTCAAGTATTCCTGGCTTTTTAAAAGAGCTCACTGAGACAAAAGTACAAATCTAACTGTGAAAGACTATCATCACATATCTAACTGAAGATATCTCTGCAGGAGGGTGGACTAGATGACCTTTAAAGGTCCCTTCTGATCCAAACCATTCTATGATACTGTGCATATGTGCACATACTTAGACCTTTCTGTGCTCCACATAAAATCAATTATTATCTTTTAATCATTCACAAACTGGTATAGAGATTGGATCACTAAGTTAACTAAAAATTGATTTTTAAAAACAACAACTGTGTAACTCAGTGTTCATCAATAAAATTCTTTTTGGATTTTGGCTAAGTGTAGTACAAGAAAAAGCCACCAGGCATGAACAAAAAAGGCAAAGTATTGCAATTATTGTTCTCTAAGAGATGAGCTATTACCATTCTGATCTTCCATATCCTGACACACTGAATTTGAAACAGTTGTAATGTTTTCCCTGTGGTTTCAAAAAGCAAAAAGAAAGGGGAAATACTCAGGCAACATATCTCCCCCAACTAGTACTAACATCAGTACCAATATCTGACACTCTGAAAAAAATCCACTATCTAAAATTCTGTCAAGAAGAATTTCAAGTGGTCACTCAAAACAAGGACTCAACAGTGCATCTATGAGCATCTATCAGAGCCCACATAATAGTATCGCTGAATCATTTAATTAGGCCAAAGGAGAGTTCCTGAAATTATTTTCACTTTCAGTAGTCCAGCACAGAAACAGCTGCGCTCTGAAGACAGCAGTACTTTTTTTTTAGTTCAATAAATCATTATTTGAAACAAACACTATGAAGATACATCGTCATGCTCACAAAAAAAGGTAATTTTCCTGTGATTAACATAATGCAAGACCAGAATTAACATTACAGAAAACTATCATGCATCTTGAGGTGAGAATCACACATTCATTGATAATAAAGACAGTATTCTTACAAAAAAAAAATAAAAATAAAAAAAAAAAATCAGTTGTTGGTGTCCCGTTAAATAAAATCCCACAATTTTAAACAATTCGAATTTTATACTGGCTTGCATTATGCAAATTAAAACAGAATTTTAACCTAAACCCATTATCAGAATAGTATTTTATAAAGAAAATACTATCTTAAAATAGTTGCAAATTAATGATTAAATAAAAAAATACACACCCATTGTTCAAGAGGTATATTGCAACATGTAGTAGGTCCTATTGGCAGGCATATTTCAGGTACACCAAATAAAACATAGAAGAAAATTTGGTTTAGAAGTATTTCTTGATAAACTTCTCCTGTCAATATAGATGGAGCACCTCAAACTGTTTGTTACTCAACTACTGCATAACTTACATGAGCCTTCCTGCTACCTGTACCTTATTGCATATTCTCAAATAAGGACAAACGTTTTAAAGCCTCATGCAAGGAAGCTTTTGTTACAGAAATGCAGAATCCCAATAAACAAGAAACTTTTGGAAAGCAATTTATGTGATATACTTAACATTGCATACCTGAAAAATTCAAAGTTGAGACAAGCTTTTGGCAAAAAAAATTTGTCATCTTGCTTGAACCACAGTTTGCTCATAGCAGTGTCCTGTGTCAAGAAAAGAGGATTTGTTATGTCACCTTACTTTTAACCATAATATCACACTACCTTTAAAAAAAGCTCATCACTTCAAACCTCAATTTAGTGTTACCCCTTAAGTTCATATTCTTGCTATATACATTTTTATATACATCAATCTATCCTTACTGAGACTCTTCTTACCATATGTCACCTTAACAAGCAGTTAAATGGCTGCAGCATTGTGAATGAGCTTATGATCAAAATGGGAACTACTTTTCTAGGGCAGGAGTGATCAAAGACAAATTTAGAGTTAGCTTCACAAAATTCCTTGCCAATGCTGGCATTAAAATACATGCTATTATGCAGCACTACAGCAGCATATAGTTACATGGCTTAGACCAAGAACTGAATTGTGTATTTAACAATTTTAATTAAAAAATATTAACGCATTGTATGTTGTTTTAAAGCAATGTTAGTAACAAACCCCACACATTTAGAAAAAGTAGTAAAACTATCTGGAAATTAGTTAAAAGATCTGTCAGCAAAAATTTTTAGAATAATCTAGTACAGAAAAGAATTTAAACAACTTCCCCAAAAGCTGTGAAATAGATACTCTCTCTTTGTTCCAACTCTAGTTAACATTATCCCCCTAAACCTTTTCTTTAAATTGCTATACCCAAGAAGAAGGAACTTTTAAATGTAAAATTATTTCTCTTTCTCATATTTTTGAGCAGATGCTCTTTGCTTCTCAGGGATTTGGCATGGTGTTTTCCTCCTTTCTGCATAAAAGAATCTCTTACAGCACATCTTCCTCTACACAATATTTGCCTTATACTAAAAATCCAAATTAGAGCTTGTCTCTGAGACAACAAAATTTTTATTCTTTTAAATTGCTACTACACAGTTTAGAATACATCCTACACCAGGGACAGAATGACAAATAGTAGACCCTGTCTCTTGAAGGTTTTTCAGGGCAAGATGTGCCATTGTAACAAAGGTGACCTACTGACATGCTGTCAGTGAAAATGGCCATCCTGTTCCAGCACTTATGCTCTCATCCCTCCCTTTCTCCACACACTGATCCAGTCCATAGTAAGCTCACTTAGGCATATGAAGCAGTAGAAAAATTGCTTTTTTTGTACACCTAATCTCTGTTGATTTAATTCTTGCAATGTGGGGTCAAATGTCAGGGACCACCAAAAGGAAAATGACATGTAACTGGGACAACAGGGGAAAAAAATAAAGGAGATGCAGGCATAGATGTCTATTTCATCAAGTACAAAAGATTAAAAACATTTTCCCTCAGAAAATGTATTTTAAAGGGAAAGGAAAAACTAAAAGCAAAACCATTTCTAAAGCAATGATGACTTAAAGCAAAGCTTTTGCGTGGATCAATTGCCTAGATGCTACAGAGACACTGAAGGACCATCAAGTTTATGTAGTAAACCAATTAATGTTACTTAATAGAGCTGTAGTATGTGTGTCCCTGCTGAGGTTTAGGGTTTCAGTTCAGGATGAACATAAACAATGCTCAAAGTCCTCTTCTGTTAATAATACTGCTTCAAGTATATACCTAAAATGCCCTGGGCAGAACAAATACGTTTTCCTGAAGGATGTCTTTACATTGAGTTAGACTTATATTAATCTAGTGTGCAAAAAGTACTCCTGAATTGAGTATTCAAGCTGGAGCAAAACATGTAATTGCAGAAGACTTCTATTTATCCGCCAATTAAGCCTAGAACAGAGACAAGCATTAGCAAAGACAACTATGCTTTAGAGAAGTAAATTTTAGGCAGTCAGAAAAACTGAGATTTACTAAACATATTGAGATTATTAAATAATGCTTCCAGGAGAATGGAGAGTGATGTTTACTTATGTGTTTACATGTCTGTCTCCCTTTTCCCATGCAACCACAAGCTTTTCCCATACACAGTTACAAAAGAATAACCAGTCTTGTCTACAGTCCCAACTTACTGAACACTGTCCAATAAAAAAGAGTGGCAGTCACCCTTCTGCTGAATAAACAGTTTTAATACTATTTCTATCAATTATTAACATGCTTTCAAAAGGGCAAAGAGAGTTTAAGTTGTTTGCAAATTTATTTTTGTAGGAACTCAAAAATTCATAATCTGAAGTTTAGCAAGAATTAACTTTTTACTATCTTTCTAGCAATATATTTAAATTTTGTACTTTTTTTGTTTATTATACTTTGGAATACGACATCATCTGTATTTTTAAAAACACAAAGGAATTAACTACTAACTTCTCAGTAGGTTAGCTAGCAAACAGAACAAAAATAACTTACCTTGACAAGGGCAGGGTATTGTGTCGCATCTTTTTCCAATGGCAAAATCTCAAAGTTAGTAGGAATGAACTCATTTTTCATTGGAAGCCTGAATTTACCATTTAAGTCAGCATTTTGCCATTTCTAGATAAACAGAAGGAACAATTAGACTAAGTAGAATTTCTGCTTAATTAATGTATCTATACTTATTTATTTTATGCTGTAACAAAAGATTTTAAAATGTGTTCCATTAGCTTATGTATAAATACTATTAAGATAGCAGGGAAAGAGAGAAATATCTGGGAAACCAAGCTGGAGTAAGCTATCAGCAGGATAAAGTGCTCTAAGGAGGAAGACAAAAGATAAAAAATAATTTGAAAACTTTTATAGTAGAGTGGAAGGTGATTTTATGTCTCATCTCTTCCATTACTGTGAACTCTGAATGAAGGTACTAAACTAAATCCATAAGCAAAAATTCTAATCAAGAACATAGGTATGAACAAGCTAAAGGAAGTGAAGTATTCCTATGCAATGTCTGTTCAAAGCATGCTTGGCAGCTCCAGTTTAGTTCTAGGGTGTATTTCACAGCTATCTCTTCTTCTAAGAATAGATCAATACAAGTTTCAATTAAGATCTGCCCACCTCATTTGTTGGAGTTTTGATTTTTAGAAGCTCATTTGTCAAAAGATACTAATTTTCTAAGTTGCAAAAATCAATTTTAGAAATAGTTACATATAGCAGTTGTAAAAAGATTCCTTTCTTAAAAACAGATTAGCTCATTAACATTTAATAGAGTCTTTTAAGTTTTCAAAAGTTAATGCTTACATTTTTAAGTAACCACTCCATATTATGGATCTTTCACAACAAAAATGGTATAATATTCTCTGTACTTAACAAGGTTTAAAACCATTAAAATGTAACTGTCTTACGTAGTAAGTATTTGAAGTCTAAAGACTAACATAAGATCCTTACTTCTCATAATATTAAACAAGACTCATTGTACAATTTTTATGCTATGTAGAGCAGCAGATTTGTTCTCTTCAACTAAATGAAAAATTAGACAAAGAATTTACCACTGTCACTTGCAGATGTTAGAATATATTAAAAATATTAACATGCCTTAATAACGTCATCAGAAATTGCTTCTTGCTTGTACTGTGTTCCATACCAGTCTTCCGTTCGATCAGTTTTTCCTTCAAAAGACTTGGAAACGATTGCAACTCTGAAAACAATGAGACAAAGCACTTTGGCATGAATGTGCCTGAGAAAAGACTGAGAAATTATTCAGAGCACTATTTCTGTTCCATCACTAGAATGCATGTATTTCTGGAAATGGTCTCTGGACATTTGGATAGCAAGTGTGTGTATAGTGAACTGCACAGCAAGGTTAACCATGAAATCAAGTTATCAGCATCATTTAATTTTACTGTTTTTCTAAAATGTTACAACCTAGAGTTACAAACAATTACTGCTGCATGTAATTTCTACTTTTTAAGACCTTGTCTGTGTTCCAGAAAACACAGAAAGCAGTCTATATGCAATCAGAAACATAAATGACAGAATCACAGAATATCTCAAGTTGGAAGGGACCCATAAGGATCACTGGTTTCAACTCCCGGCTTCTTGCAGGACTACCTAAATCATATGACCAAGAACATAATCCAGATGCTCCTCAAGCTAAAGAATACACCTAAATAAGAGGAAATCCAGAATAAAGAAAATTACAAACTTAGCAGTATTTTTTCAGTAGTCTTTATAATGTGAATAAAGAAAACTCCTTTAATTCTTTTTAACAACATACAACATAAAAGAGTATGCAGTGGAAATAAGTAGCTACCTTTAAGAGTAAAAATATGTTTCAAATGGTCAAAAAAGGTAACAATTAGAACATAGTCCATATTCTATATATATTTAACAATCCCTAGATGCCAACGAACTTCATCAAATCTTGTGCAGATGGCTAAAATGCACATTAAAACATCAAAATATATATGTGGTGTTCTTTTTAATGACAATATCTTAAGGCCAGGAACATTCTGTTGTGTATTTCTAATATGCATGGCAAAGCAGGGTGTAAATCTAAACAGGCATATGGATGTGCCTCAAACTTTTCAAATTATTAGTAATTTAATCTGTGCACTGCAGTTTGAGTAAAAGGAGAAGGCTCAGGGGTAAATCGCTAACATTAGATGCATTTAAATAAATTACAAGTGCATTTCAGAATCACACAGGACTGTAAAGACACGTTCTCTAGCAACAGATTCAAACACTGAAGCAGGACTTTCATTACAGACTGTCTAATTTTGAGACAATATTTTAAATCATACCCACTAAACAGGGACAACCAAATCACACATTTAAGAGATGCAGATTTCCTCTGGGTTGAGGAAAGGAGAAATTTTTACTCCCATCTTTGAAAGAACCACATGATTAGCATGAACAGGTACACATATACATATACACAAAACAACCCCTGCTCCTCTGCAAAAGTTATGCAATATCCAAAGCAAAATGAGAATATTAATCTTCAAGAGATACATTGTTTCATCTCTCATTGCAAATGCCAAAAGAAATGGCTAACAATTTTATAATTACTTCATATAAGGCTGTTTCATATTTGTTTGCATGTTACATCTATTTCATTTTTTATACAAAAGGAACAATACTAAATAAATATTCAGCAAATAACTAATCCCTTTAACCCTTGAGAATATTTGTTATTGCAACACAGTAGACACTAGCTCAGTCAAAAAGGTGAAATCTAATAGAGATATTGTTGTTTACATTAAACTCAGCCATAGAAATATTCTATTATGTTTTGCATTTTAACTTGGACAGCTGGTGAGCAAAAGCTCAATCACGTACAGATGAAGTTGCTAAGAGACTATAAAAAACAGTCTATTAGAGCTTTAGAGCAATCACCAGGCCTTTCCTTCCATTAAATAAAAAAGAAGAAAAAAAAAGAATAGCCTCAAACTAAAAGATTATCCTGATAAAATTTCAATAATCATGTGGTCCGAGCAGCAAAACAGAGGTGTTTAATGCTATAATAGACATTCCCTCCTTCTACCCTTCTCCAACGTATGGATGCTCAAACAGTAGTAACAATACAAGCACCCAAACATGTGCTGTAGGAACATACTAAAATTAAAAGAGCTAAAAATAATTCTGTCTGCTCAATTTATAGAAAATGAAATTGTGGAAATCAGCATTGCAATTCTTCAAGCAGTTCTGCTTCAAGGGATCCTCCTGCCCTCCCTACACCCCAAATCACTACTGGAATAATTGCTTACGTTTTGAGCTCTCAGAAACACACTCGCAACCACACGAAACAAACCAAAAGGCATTTCATCTGCCTGAGACTTACAACCTAAACCAAGATACAAGCACCAACAGCAACGAACACCAGGACAGAAGAGGGGAAAAGAAACACCACAGTTAGAAATATAATGCCATGCAGTTATTTAAATATATCAAAATGCACCTTTAAAGTTACCATCTATGTAATATTATTTTTGCATTTCATTTCTGTGGTGTTCTGTATAACACTATGAATCTCCACATGGTTTAAAACAGTGTTGAAATGCACTGGAAAAGCCAGACAGGCAATCTTTAATAAGACCTGCTTGTAGCATACTTAAACTCAACCAGTGCAATTAGGCTTCAGAGCCATTCATGAACAGGGAACACAGCTCGAACTATAAATGCAGTTTACTTCCACATGCACATTCTTGCACATGCAAACTGTTGTAGTCCTCAGTTACAGCCGATTAACAAAACCAAGCACAATTTCTATAATGTCATACGTATTTACTAGATACCATCTTGTTTTTCACTCTTCTGAAGCCTAAAATGAAGCAACAAGTGACTGATCCACAGAAAAGTATTATTTAGTAAGAGAATGTGTGCTTTAATATTAATGTACTTCCAAGAAAGATTATCAACTATTATATTCCAAATTTATGTAACAAAGCTCAAGCTTCTAAGGGTGAAAAAGTAAAAGACTTTGAGACCACAGTGTTTGTGATATTAGTAACAGACATGTCAAAGCAAATTTGTTGCAAAAAGAGAATTTATACTTAAAAAGGAATTGCTTTTTTTAGAAATTAATTTAAACTTTGTCTTCCAAATTATGATACTGGCAAACCAAAGAAAAAAAATTACACTTATTCAAATGCAGAAAATAACATGACTGAGACAAAACCACCAAAAGTCTAGGTTTGTTTATAACTTCCTCCAAAACCACCAGTAAAAATGATGTGAGGAAATATAGGCTATTCAAAGCTACTTCCACTCAAATCTCATTAGAAAACAGAGAGAAAACTATATGCAGAAATGTTGCTGGGGAGCAGCATTCTAATAATTCTGCAGAAACACAAGTTATTTGTTAGGGTTCAATAAAACTAAGTCTCTACACACACTGTGGTTTGTGGGGGGAAATAAGGGAAAAAATTGTGATTTTCAAAATCTTTACTCAGATACGATGCAATTAAAAAATAAACATATACATTCCGTATTTGTACATGTTTATCATCACAGATGAGAAACACTGACTGCAGTGAATTAACTGTTTGCTCAGTATCTGAAATACCAGCCCTTAGTAATATCTGTATCAACATTTTTTGGCATTCATTTTCTTTTCCTTCCCTCTAGGATAGTACTAGCACTGCACTTCAGATATCAAGAGAGGAAAAAAGTCCACTAACTATCCAGGGGAAAACGTTCTGTAGTTGCTTAATCTGATGAGTCACTAGCTTCTTAAATTTTAATATGAGCATTTATTCTGCAGATGATGAGGGGAAAAAATTGTGCTGAAAATTATGGGAAAATTACATTTTTCAGCTAAGACTGTGACACATGCCAAGTCTACTCCCTTCACAGATGGCTGGCAGAACCCAAGCAGTTTGAACAAGTAAAAATGATACATCTTAAAAAGGTTTCTCTTTTAGGGAAATGAAGCCACTAAATGCAACAAGTAGTGTGTGAAGGTGAGAGGGGGGAGGAGAATATGAAAACTTCCTGTTATGGTTCAGTCAAACAGAAGTACATATGGATACTTGCTGCCATCTGTGAGTATGGATAATTTTCCATACTTCTTAAAAACACAGTTTGTTAAGAAAATAACAGTCAAAAAGCTAAACTTTCTTAAATGACATTGAACAGCAGTCTCTAACTACCCCAGTACAGACATGCCAAGAAAAGTCCTAGTGTAGGTGAATTTCAACAGGGTTATGAAAAGGAAATTATAAATAAAACCATAACACAAAGGAAAAATGCAAATCAGTGGAAACTAAACCATTGCAAGACACAATTTATGCAAGGCATAAAAATAATAAATAAATAAATAAATAAACCACAGGAAAAAAACCCACAGGCAAAGTTAGGATGATGTGGCGCACACTAATTCTTTCATGAAAAGGAAGAACAGAAATGTAAACATGATAACCAGCACACATATAGACATTTAAAAGCACGTCCACAGTTTTTTATTAGTATACACAATTTGCTCAAGTAAAGATAAAAGAAGGAAGCGAGCTACTGGATTGATAGTTTACTACATGCATATAGATACAGATGTAATTAGAGGAAAAAAAAAAAAAAGTAAAACACAAGGGGATTCCTTTATTAGCATCTATAATCTCTACTCATTCTTTCAAGAGAGCCTACTAAAATGCAAATCCACAGTGGCTTTCTCAAATCTTTGTAACATACCATAAAATCACTTCTAGTAATATTTAACTAAGGTTCTCCCCTCAATATTTTATTTTGCCAGCAATTTAAAATATTATTCCTTGTTATATTTTACTATACTTCGAAGTATCTTGAGATTAAAAAATTCCTAGTTCACTTAATTCTACTTTCTAATTTCAAAAGATAAGTGCTTAAAATGTGTCTAAAAAGAATACAGTATTATATACAAGTTAATATCTTGTTTCAATCACATGAAAATAGGGAAGTTAATTAGCTCAGATCTTTAAACACCTGCTACCCTGAATAAAATAGAAAGGACACATCTGAGAAAAAAATCAGCTTGCACTTTTATCATAGAAGCTACACAACTATAATTTTTGAGACTATACTGAAAAAATACATCATTTAGGGAAGCAGGGAAAAGCAATAAAACACTTAAATTTGGTTTGATATTCTGTGTTTCTTTTTTGTAAGTTATAGTTTTGTAGAAGACAGTCTAAACAAAGAGAACTAAGACATGAATGTACAGCT